TTCGATTGTAAAAAGAATTATTCGAATAGTTGCAATATTGATTAAAAAAGACGTTTAATACAGTTAAATAAGTCTTTTAGAAAGATTTTTTTTAAAAAGCACGTATGAATTTTCAAAAAGTTGCTTTTAAGGATTTTATGTTCTATTCTTTTATGGTCATTTTTTCATTGTAGTTAAATCTTTATCAAATGCATAAATAGTAAGTAAATGTTATTGACATTTCATCACAAAATACTCATTATAAAAGAAATAATAAGCAGTTTGTTTGTTGTGTATATTATAAATATGTTCCCATAAGCTACTAATTTTGAGTAACTTCAGCGTCTTCAGAGTAAAGGTAAATAGTAAATAACTCAGACTGCTATCTAATGCTTGAAATAATTCAATAGAGTGACATAATTTTGATTCAATTATGGAAGCCTAATTTTGTCATCTAGGTTTGCCCCTGTTTGACAATTATAATCTCTTATTTTCATTGCTGATTTTATTCGTATAAATACTAGAGTCTAAGAAAATTTGTTTCTAATCAGAAAAGTTTTCATTGGATATTAAAATCCATGCAGGTGATATAATACGCGTGAGGATCTTGACCAGGTCTTGTGGAATTGCGTAGACCAAAGCCAAGAAAATAGCTAATAGTTTTAATTTTTAACAAAAGAAATCATTATAATTGCTTTACTCACATAAAATTTAAACAAGGTTATACAATTTTAAGAATGATTTACCAAACAAAATGTTAATTAAGGTTAAAAAAATTTTTGTGAAACATTTCTTTATCAAAATATAAAAATAGTTGCATAAAAATCTGCTTAACGAATCTTTTTTTTTATTTGAATTTATTTCTAATTGAGATAATAATGTCTATTATAGATACTATAACAGTATATATACATATATGGAAAATGCTAAAATCAGGATCAAAAAATCATCTGCAAAAAATCAGGATCAAATTGGTTACCCAAAGTGCTGGTACTTTTTATAATAAAATCTATTTTTAGCTAAAAATTTTAGGGAACAAAGAATCTGATAAACAGTAATTTTTATACCGTAGTATTTACTATAAAATCACTGAAATTAAATAAGTGCTACTGTAACAATTACTGTATAAAGAAATGTATTTCACGGATGATGCGTCCAGAGTGCCAGTACTTTTTATCGTAAACTTATCCGGAATATATTACAGTGTATGAGAATTCTATTTAAAGAATTGAGAAGGGGTATCTTTTTAAGGCAAACTGCAATAATTTTAGTACTGTAGCAAAGGTTTAAGCGTTATGAAATTCGCACAAAAATGAGAAGTCCAAAAATGAGATGACCTTAGTTTGATGTAAAATAATTCATAGATTGTATCAGATAGACAAATTTTTAAAACATGTAAAGCGATGTAGGTCTCTTTCCTAAAAGCACTAATGACGTAGTCTACTTCCATCAATTTTATTGTTAGGCTTTCCAAAACGTATTAACCGAACACGATATTTCCGTGAACATATTTTGAGAAATGGCTTTTAACATAGTAGCAATGATCAGCCTTCCTAATCAATTAAATCCTCACTGCGACCACCTGTTGCTTAGTTCGATGAGGCAGCCATGATCTTCAAGAGTGGGTCATCTCGGTGGCTCATTTTATTTATTTTTTCTTCAAAAAGAAATATTAAATGGGATGGCTGATAATTAGAATAAGATAGCTTGTTTCAGGTGCTTAAGACAATGTTTTATTACTTTAACCGGATATAGTTGCTCTTATAATGAGAAATTCTTTTTTTGAATATATGATGACCTAAAGTCTTTTGAACTCCCAATCTTTAAGCTAAGATTCAATTAACAATAGGGAAGAGATGCTTGGTTTTTGCTCGTGAAATCTCATGAACATTTAAATAACTTTGTTCAATTTATTTGAAACTAAATTTTATGAATATTACAGTGAATAGTTTATATACATTTGCTCAAATCTAATACTGAATCATTAAGCTAAGATTCAGTTAACAATAAGGAAGAGATGCTGGGGTTTCATCCGTGAAATCTAATGAGCATTTAAATATATTTGCTTATTTTAGAACTAAATTTCATGAATATTACATTGAATAGCTCTTTCACATTTGCTCAAAACTAATACTGAATTTGCTTTACTTGCTTACATTTATAACTGAATTTAATATGAATGAATGCACATTTTAAGTGTAAAAATTAATAAAAAATATTTACATATTATGTAAAATAATTTTCTACAATAATAATTTATTTTCTACAATAATAATCTATTTTCTACAATAATAATCTATTTTCAAACTGAAATAAAACATTTTTGCAATAAGTAAACGAAATCTATGCTATGCAAGGCTAATAACGAAAAATACTGATTAAAAATAGTATAACATATAGCAGTTTCTCAAACTATGAGTCATGACCCCAGTTGGGATTGCTTGACCAGCAGCAGTGGTCACCGAAAATTTTTACAATTTCGATATATTTTTTAAAATATTATGAATTTTTCCCTGAAGAAATGAATTTTTCATTAAAAAATTGATTTTGATAAGTTAATGATTTTTTCATTGAAAGAAGCTTTCAATAGAAAAATTGTGTTAGCATTTGTAAGGACGGTGCTAAAACAATGGCTGGTGACAAAATTGGATTTCAAGTCAAAGTTAAGGAAAGTGGAAAGGAACATTTAACAATTGGTACTGGTGGCCGAAATAATATCAGCAGAGTTAGCTGCTGCGCTCTGAGATAGTGTTAAAGTGGCAAAAAAAATCGCACTCAATTTCGTACGTAGTTCTCAAATTCTAGCAAAGACATGAGTTTTGAATACAAATGCTCAAGAAGTCAAAGTTTAAGTAGGTTGTTAAAAATCAAAGATAAAATTCTTTTTCTAACCGAACGAAATCTGATTTTGTGAATTAATTCTATAATAAGATGTGTCTACAATAACCTATGTTATTTGAGTGACATGTTTAAAAAAGCTAGATAAACTAACTTCAATGAAAAAGTTGAAATATATTCTTTTTGAAATCAAAAATGGATGCTTTTAATAAAAAAAATTACCATATCGAGATCACAATTAGGAAATTACCATATCGAGATATGGTGCAAAAGGGTTCGTTAGAAATGCTTATCGCAACAAATGAATGAATTTTAAGTGAAAATGATAAAACAGATCATCAAAAAAGATGAATTGTTAATATTGATAAGTGAATATCTTAGGTGTCCTTCGGAAGACTTAGAAAAATATTTCCCTTCAAATTTTAGTGCTCAGGAACTAATATGGATTGTTAAACCATTTGGAATTACTGTGGAAAATATTACGCTTTTACCATTAAAATCACAAGAACTTGCCGACTTATCAAGTGATTTAGGGATGAAAATTGACTTTAATATAAAGTCTTAAGAAGATTTTTGCAGTGGCAAAAGAACTTCCAATGACTTCTGAGATTGATAAAAACTTTCTTTTACCTTTTTTCTACGAATTATTCGTATCAGACGACATTTTCGTTTTTAACCCTCATGAAATCAAAGTGCCACTCAAATCTAGAGAATATTGAAGCGTTTCGCCCTGCGGTATCGAATATTTTTTCAAGATTTGGTGCTTGAATTTACACTAGTAATTGAGTTTCTCATCATTATTGTATTGTATTGTATTGTTAAGTTTGTCCTTTATTTTAAATTTTCACGTTGTTTTATGCATATAAATAAGCGACAATATTATAATACAGTATAGTGAAAATGACAGTTTAACACAAGAATTGTGTCTCTTTAGCGCAATCCTCTTAGGGTGCTCCAAAAATTATATAAGGTCACCACACCAAAAGGTTAAAGAAACCTTGACTCAGAGGATCAAACCGCTCTATTTAAAAACGGTAATGATACTGTCATTTTAATGCAATTACTAGTCGAAGTAATAAAAAAAAGTATATATTTAGTTACATTTACTACTTCCGTATGTTATATAGATTTATCAAATGTTTTATAATTTATTTCATCATAATGTACAGTGCGTAACGAAAAATGAACTATACTGAATAACTTTCGATCTAATTATTGGATTTTCACGTAATATGAATCAATATCTATGTTTCGAGGAGGTTGCTTCAAATATTACGATTAATTAGGGCAGACAATATTTTAAGTTACAAAATCAGACACAAAAACGTACTTCTTTTTCAACGGATTAGAACTCCTGACTCCTAAAATACGGGCGGTAGCTGCAATCCCGGAAATACGGTCCCAATATTTTGGTCAGAAAAGCGGTCCAAAAATCGTTAAACTTTATATAAATGTTAATTTTTGCGTCTTTCACCATATCTCGGAAATTTTTTACATGAATCAAAGACGTTTTGCATACAAATATAAAATTCGTTTATACAACGATACTTCTATCTACTATACTATACTATAAAAGGTACTATAGTATTATGAAAATAGTCCCATTTAACACTTTTTTAAGGTAGAAACAACACCTTTACGCGATACAATGGTTTAATTCACCAATATTATAATTCAACGGGGAACAAAATAGTTTTTAGACTGAATGTTTCTTTTTAAATCTGATGTTTATTTAAACCGGATGTTTTTCAATAAATAATAAATAATCTTTTTCATCAGAAACAACAGGTTAAAATTAATCGTTTTTGATCTTTTTTGCCATTTTATGTTTCGCATTAAAAAACTAAAGATTTTAATTTTTTACACAGTTTCGATGCAATATAAATTTTGATAATTGAAATAAAGACGTCTTCAAAAAATCTAGGTTTTTCCTGGGATATTATGATTTATAGTAGGTCTAATATCTGTCAGCTCAAAATAAATTTAACAAATACTTTAGAACAGAATTATAATTTATTTCATTTCCCCCCATTTATTCCATAAAAGAAACATACGAATCCATGAGAAACATCCAAAATAAGTGCTATTACTAATGGATGCAAGGTGACTTTAAATTGCGACTCACGTAATAATAGTATCCCTTTGCAACTTACGTCATGGATATAATGAAAACACCTACTTACCCTGTTTGTTGAGACAACGGAAGACCAGGAAAAAAAGTGTAAGAAAACAGCTGCTTAACTCCTTGGGTTTTATGGTGGTAATCCTCCGAGCGTAGATATTACGTGTAATATCCGTTGGAAGACCACTTTTACGGAAGAATCAAGGTAAACGGGATTTATGGAGTATGAACATAAACACAAGTTGCCTTTCACTGCTTTCACTTTCTTGCATTATTGAAGCAATATTTTTCCATTTTTCCACTTATATACCTCTACATCACATAAAAAAAACAACTAAATCTTGGCTTAATTTGATAAAGTATTGCAAACGTGTTATCGAAATTTAAATCAAATTAATACAACGTTTTCATCCTTGATGCTGAAAATTCTATACTTTAAGAATGTTGCCAACAATTTTAAAAGTCATCTATAGTAAAAATTATTCTTAATTTCTATTAACGTAAATATCGTTTGCAATCAGATTTTCTAATTTTAAATATTCCAAAAATCGTTTGCAGTAAAAAATGATCATTTTAATAGATAAAAAACATCGTTTTCAGTAACAGATAATTAATAAGTAAATTGCGAAGATCAACTACATCAACGTAGTCATTCTTTTGATATCGTCTGAGCTTTTGAAAGTAACACTGATGCCAATTCAGAAAAAAACGAAGTGTAATTGAATCACTTGCAATGAGGTATTTTAAAGGAAATCCAATAAGTTGCTTTCTAAGAAACTAATGTTTTCGGTAAGTTTATTCCTTTGAGAAATATTTCAGAAGATAAATTCTTTCACGTAAGCATCCCTGCTCCTCCAGAGAAATTCCGCAAAATCATTGACAAAGAAGTACACGTGATTTGAAGCGTATCAATGTAGTGTGTTACTTCAAAAAATCGCACGCCCTCAACATCTTTGATAACGCGTCTTTGCACGCTGCTGCTTCAATCATAACTAAATTCAACCACGTGCTTCAATAAGTCAACGCGCGCCGTAAAACGAAAAGAAACAAGTATCCGTTCTATCAAGCAAGGAAAAAAAAGGCAGCCGACCACCCGGTCGAAACCACAATGATTGGATAAAAGACATCACATGACCTGCCGTAAAATGTTTTCATTTTTACTACACCTATTATGATAGATTTAAAAGTTTTTTTTAACACTTTGTTTTAATGAACGGTTTTCCTCATTATCTTCTCCTTAGTGAATTCAGTTTGAAAGGTATAGTTTTTTTATGATGCACATCATTAAAACAACGGGTTTTTTTTTCCTTTCATTATAAGATGAATGATTAAAATTTACATCTATGAAATCAAACGCTTGGCAACTTGCTTTTAATTGAAATAATTTCCCAGACCGTTTATATAATTTTTTATAATTTAATACAGAAAAGTGCTACTACTTGCAATTAATTTTTTATAGATTTAAAAATATATGTTTTATTCATTTTTTGTTTTTAATTATCCCGAATTAATAGAATTTATTGACTATTTTTTTAAAATTATTTTGGATTAAGGTTATCTAAATTTTGCGATTACTGCATACAGCATTTTACTTTAAAATTTGTTATATTTAATATATAATTAATTTTAATGATACTTATTTTAAATAATTCATACATCATAAATTGGTAATTACAAAAAACTTTTCATGATTTTTCAGAGTATTTATTTTATAACCTGTATGAAAATGTAAGGCTAATTCGCCAGTAAAATTAAAAAAAATTATAATTAAAAATAATAAGTGAATAAATTCAAAATCTGCAGAAATGTTGCCAATATTTTCATTTTATGTTATTTTACGTTTTCAAATATACAGAATTCTTTTCAATTAACTTCTGATGAATCTGAAGTAATTTTTATCATTTATTTACTCATTGTGGTTTCAAAAAAAGTTATGATTTTGTTTTCGAAAGCAATGGTATTTTTGGTTAATTAAGAAAATATCCCACTGAATATATTTTTTTATGAAACAGTTACAGGGTTTGAGCATGAACGAAATTATGCTTCAAACAAATCCAAATGTAGCAAATCTATAATAATTTGCATTTCTTAGATGACAAAGTTTAAGTTATTTATCCTTTACATTTTTCTAAACTATATTCTTTTCGAGCATTTACGAGACGATCACCATCTGCGAAACTTTGATAATACGAAAATTTCAAACGTTAGAACTTAATGAAAGCACTATATTTGCCTGTAAAAATTCTTTGAGCCCTTTTATGAATATAATTTAATTAAAAAAAATCATTTTCATATTATCAAGATATAGTCGAAAAAAAGGTATTCTCTGATTCCTCACTTGCTATTAAAGAAAAGTTTACTTGGACTGTTAAATTGTTGTAATTATGTAATTTATTTGCTTAGTTTGAAATAATTTTTATTTATTATTTTAGTAAGAAGATCTTTACAATGAAGAAAAGTTGGACATTTTTTTTCATTCAACAGGAAATTAAGAAACAAAATCAAAATATTTTCCCATTTCATAATCAAAAATTTCTTTTTTAAATCTGAATGCCTTTCTGCTATTAAATTTTAATTAGCTATTCCAAACTTGTAAATGTTTTTGTTTTCAATATATCTATGTACTTTTCAGAACACCCTGCACACCTTTTGAGTTTTATTTATTTTGACGAAGCTCAATTTTGTGTCGAAATATCATCGAAGTCATAAGATTTGAAAAATGGCATTTCTTCAAATATTATTTAGTGAATACATTTGAATAATTACATTTGAAAGATTCCAAAAAACATAGAAATGTTAAAATATCATTTGCTTTAAAATTTGAGCAATTTTTCTTCAAAAAAAATTTAAACCGGCAAACTTGTAACCTTCGATTTTTTAAAGAAGTAAAATGAATGAGAATATGGTAAAATAATGTATCATTAATTACGGCATACTACAAATATTTATATTATAAATGTGTTTTTGCCTAAGTAAATAGTTTTTTATATACTAAATAGTCAATACATGTGATTATGACTTAAAATTCATCCTTACTGGTTTATTTATTTTTAATTTTTTATCAATTTATTTAATATATTAATTAAAACAAAGAGTAAGCAAATAAATGAAAATCTCGAGCTTTAAATCAAAGAGTTCATTTCTTGTTCATCTGGATATGATTTGCTTTTGTTGGTGAAACCGATTATCATATTTATTTATTTACTTATAATAAAATTTGCTTTTTTCTGCTTGTAAATAACACAGTACTATGAAAAAATCAATTTCAAAAGCGACCTACTGCAATAGAACATTTTAAAAAAAACATACTTGGAGCTGTAAAATTATTAAAATAAAATGTTTACATGCACGGGGAATAAAATTCTGGAAAAACTACTTTACTGTATAGCAATGACATTTCTGGTTCAAAAAGGAAAAAAAAAAGAAACATAATTTTTGCTTATAAAATCAAAATCTACGGTATTTAAACCATTCATTTGGTAAATTTTTCATTCATTTGGTAACAGTTTAACGGAAATTCCGGTTTTCAAATTTATAGTTTTCAGTATCACTTTAGTTAAAAATAATACAAATCTGAAAAGTGAATTTAACCGAATAAATAGTTTTTAGTCCAAGTTCTAAGGTATGATAAAACTACAGAGTTTTACCACATTTACCAAATTTTATCACACAATCTAAAACTATATTTTATTATTAATTTTATCATTCCTTCGGTAAAAATTATCGAGCTTTTTGGTGTCCCATTGAACCAGAAACATGGTAAATTTTACCACATTCTGGTAGTTCCGATCATGCATTTTTCGTCAGTGTTAGTTAGTGTTACAATTGAAGAACTAATATTCTGATGAAATTAGTCACAAAAAGAATTAGTAACATTTGAAAACATGATACTATCAAGCTTTATTTATCATATATTTACTGTTTTTCCAATCAGTAAGAATGTTATGCATGTATCAATAAAAAATAATCAATTTATGATATAATTAATAATCATATTCTTCATATATCATTGCAATTGCTCTTAATAAAACACGTCATCTGATATTTAGATTAAATATTCTATTTTCGGTTATGTTAAGAAGTCATTTGTAATTTCTGACCATGACATAGGATAACCACTGCATAATCTAAAGTTTATCTAGACGACAAAGAGCTTAAAATATTTTCAAGGGAATGATAGAATGCTTATGATTGTAACATCACCATTTCAACTGTTCTCAGCCATTGTGGACAGATAGAGATATTTGAGACTATAAGATACTTTGAATTTATCAGTCAAGAACTGGTCCCTATCTACTTAAAGCTTTGTTCAGTTGGTATTACGTCTTTTAGGACACTGACTCCGAAGTATCAATGTATCGTAAGCAAATAAGTATAAAAATATTGCAATGTATTAGATTAAATTTACAGACAATGTGATTAATTCTTCAGATGGATGATGTTGTGGTATCAGTAAAACAATAGAGCGCTTTGCAAGATATGTTTAAGAATAGTGTTGCGTGGCGAATGATTTTATAGACACAGAACTGCTATTTTTAGTTTAATTTTAACTCGTTACCTTTTTAGTTTAATTTTACCTAGTTCATAATTTAGGTTAGTTTTAACTCGTTACTTATTTAGTTTAATCTTAACTCGTAACCAATTTAGTTTATTTTAACTACCACGCATTTTATTTTAATTTTAACTCGTTATCTCTTTAGCTTAATTTTAACTATTTCACATTTTTGTTTAATTTTAGCTCATTTAGTTTAATTTTATCTAGATCACATTTTAGTTTAGTTTTAACTCGCTACTTATTTAGTTTAATCTTAACTCGTTAGCTATTTAGTTTATTTTAAAAACCTCACATTTTATTTAAATTTTAACTCGTTACCTCTTTAGCTTAATTTTGACTATTTCATGTTTTTTGTTTAATTTTAATTTGTTTACTCATTAGTTTAATTTTAAATTGTTCATTTAGTTTAAATTTTAACTCGCAATCTCTTTAGTTTAATTTAAATTGTTAATTATTTAGTTTATTTTAAAATCGTTACATCTTTAGTTTAATTGTTTTTAGTTTATTTTTAACTACAGTACTACATTAATGAAAATTATTCAATCCATAGATGTAAATATCATTGTGGCGGACCAAGTACCTGTTAGAAACATAAATTTTCAAATTTGTTTTTGAAAACATACCCAATGTTAAATTATTGGTGAAACATTTTTTTATACATGCTTAAATTCAATTTTCTATTTTGTCATTTGCTAATTTTTATATAGGTTCCTTGTAATTTGTCAGGTCTTTATAAATGCTTGACAATTTTTCAATACTTGTCTGTTCATATTTATATTGACTCATTATATCATAATATTGTAAAAACAATAATTGAACAAATAATTACAAATTCAGTTTCTAATTTTTCCACAAGTTTAACAATAATCAAATTTACTCATAACCTAAAGATGTATTTATTATTTTAAATACACTATAAAAAATTTCGGATCACATTACGGAATAAAAAAATCAGCACTGAGGGAGCTGATACTTTACACCTTCAAATCCATTTTTACCAGAACATGCTACGAAACAAAAATTGGATATAAAGTTATTATTCAATGACAATTATCATAAAATCACCGAAGGTACCTAATTTAATAAATATTACTCTAAAAATTACGGTATAATATTTTACTGTAAAAATGAGTTTGACGCTAAAAACGAGTTTTACGCTAAAAACGAGTTTTTCGGTGAAATGGATTTTACGAATGATGCATCAAAAGCACCGGTACATTATTATATTTTGATCTAGAATTTTTTACTGACTTGTTTTAATTTCATTTGTCATGTAAATCTAATTTTAATATTTTTTTTAGTTTTCGTAAAAGTGGATTTCTATAATTAAATTTGGTACGTTGATTGGATAAGGAGATGTACATATATGTATATTCACTAAACAAAAAAACGAATTAGGACATCATTTTTGAAAAGTCTATAGATTATTTTAAATTTACTTTCATTTGCAACATTTTTTTTCTGTTTAGTTCTTAAATACACTAATAGTTAACAGAATTATGTTCGTATCAGA